TTTACAGTTTCAGAATAGCTGATTTTTATGGGACTGAGACCTGTGCAGTTGAATGTGTAAAATGCGCCTGAATAAACCTTATGAACAGCTGTACACAGATCTTCTCTAATTGAACAATTTTGTAGGGCAGCTTGATTTTACTTAGTTGTCCTCATGATTTGGCAGGCGGTGTGTAAATTACCATTCATCAACGAGTTATGCCTTCTCGCAGAGATTGAAAAAGCTGAACATACTTTGACAGTAAGTTCTGATCTGTATATACTGTATACAAGTAGTGTTGTAACCAGTACGAAGTTGCGTTGACAGAAAGGCAGCATTATTGTTGATTAAAACATTTTCACCCATACAAAGCGGTGATTGCATTGTTATGTGATGTAATTTTTTCTGTGTTATTCTGCATATGAATATGTTTGAGCATTCTCAGTTACCTGTATGTTCTCTAAAAATGCTGAATAATATTTTTCTGATCTAGGATGAAGAAAAACGAAGAAACAGTTTGGGTCTTGATCTACTATTTGTTCACACATCGCATCCTTTGGCTGCTAAGATCTTTTCCTTCTGCAAGCGCAACAAATATAACCCAAAATTGCCCAAGGCTAAAGTGAAAAGAAAAATTAACCCCGAATTCAGGTAAAAAATCATCAGCGAACAGCTTACTGATGAAACCAATAACTACAATTATTTTGTGTGTGCGTGTTTCTCTTTTTCAATGTGGGACGGAGGAAGTTATCCTCAGATTAGGGACTGCCTCAAATGTAGTTAGATTACCCTTAATAGCTTTATGCTTCAGCACTATGACTTTTCCCTGTGGCACCAGATTTTCTGTGGATGATGCTGATACTGGAAGAATCTTAGAAAGCAAGGCACAGGATTAAATACTCCATATGGCATTGCAAGTATATATTCTGGGTTGATAGGCCGACATGTTCTATTGCTTCATCAGAAGCCATTTAACCAGTTCAGAAATTTTAAATTTGATATGCACCTACCTAGTGCTAGTAACTTGATTATGAACATCTTCCCCAATTCTTTTAATTTTTAACACTTTTCTAATGTTTTCACATCAATATTTTGCTGTGTACTTGCTTTCTTGTCAATTGGCACCTTTATCTTGTCTGAAATATTTTCTGGATTCTGGAAGCCAGGTGGATGACAACATAAATGTTTTGTCAAACTTTCCCAAGGGTTTAAAATGTCTAGATTTTTTTATAAATCATGCACATGTTGTTTTATCATTTAAATTCTTATCTTCTATCCTGGGACAATATCTGCAGATCATTCATGTTCTGCATATGAATGCCCACAATCATAAAGATACTTCATTTCACTTTAGTAACTGATATTTTTGTGCAGTGACGGAATGAATGGATACACGTACATCTCTGATACGCCTATACAACCTGTAGCCATCTATTCACCACTTGACAACACGGAGCTGATAACAAATAATGAAGTCGTGTATGTAAACTTTTGAATATGGTAATCAGAAAAGTAGAGTTCAGCAATCAGCATTACTATGTAGATATCTCATGTTGGGCACCTTTTTCCCTTTTCCCAGGTCTGTCTTCTACAAACCCCCATCATTTCATCCTCACATAGCAAAAATCCCTAAAGGAGTGATAAGGCTTGGGAAGGTATGAAACGCGCTTTTATGGCAGTAAGCCTCTGTGCTTTACATTTTACTTGCTTAGTAGTTGCCAAATCTAAATCTTACTTCATACTGTTGAACCTGCATTATAATGAAACAATAAAAGCTTTTATTTCATTCTCTAGCATAGCTTACAGGTTCAACTATCAAAATTGTGTTATCATTTGTTTGTGACCCTACTGGTTTGCCTGTGCATGTGAATGACTTAATCAGATAAAGAAGGTAGTTCTGTATGGTAAATTTTTATTGCTTGGTGAGTTCTTCCCTATAAGACTGCTTTCATGAATCTGTACAAAAATTCATGATTCAAGAGAGAAAACCACCAGTGAGTGTTGAATTGGCTATGGCAGACTTCAGTTAATTGTTATCATATATGAGAATTTCTGACACGAAATAACAAACTATCAAAGGTATTACTTCTCTTTCTATGAAAAGCGCATCAAGCAGATTGCATACCATCGGAAGATAACATTTTTTTACTACTATAAATTTTGTATCTTCATCTTTAATTATATGCTGTTTCTTAAGATTTTGGCTTGCTTAACACGCGAGTTATACTTGAATCAGTCTGTGGGCGAGCATGATATCCAGCCTCCTCCTATCCTGTGGCATGAGAAGACATCAATTGTTCGACACAGGTTTTCTCAAAGGTGAGACTGCAGCTACATCTCTAATTCCCAAACTCTCCTCCACTCCCCCCCCCCCCCCCACAAAAAAAAATCAAAAAAAAAAAAAGGCTCCCCCAGTCTCTCTCTCTCTCCCTCCCACTCTCACACAAGAATGTTTATTTAAAGTGTATATAGTCATTTCAGCAAGAAATCGTTCAGTTATGATGCCGATTTGTCCATTCATGGAATTTGTACTTCATATAGCATATAAAAATTTGAAGACTCTTCCCCCGAAAAAAAAAAGAACCATAAACTGGAGTTGGGGAGGTTGAAGAGAAGTTGGGATATACATTCACCGTGAGAAATTAGATAGACGGGGTACAATTACTGATTAGCACTGTCTTTTTTGGTATGCTACGATAAACAAATAAAATGAGCTACGTAGATGTTCATCTTATTGCTGTAATATTACTGCCTAGAGGAGTAGCAAACATCCGGGACTTTTATTAGATGCGTGATTGTGTTCGTTTTACATCTTTATCCAATTGTCAAATTATTTTTTCCCCTTTGAAGGTGCATTCCCCCAAGGGCGGTCTCAGGGCCTTGCCTTGCGAAGATGGCTCGTCAGCTTGTATCACAGAACTGTGTAACAAAGCTGCATGATGCGGATGGAGACCATGGTAAAGTCAGCAAGGCCAAACGGAATTGGTCTCATGACAAAATGAAGAACCGGAAGATAAAGAATGGAGGTAAAAGGAGAAAAGTCAATAAAGCCTAGTGCTGCAGCTATACTTGAAGCCTAGAGTCAGCTTAGAGTCTCAAGAAGGGGCCTGTTATCCTAATTTTTTACAAGAGCTCAGATCTGCCAGAATGGGCTTTGAGCTTTGGGATGGGTTGGCCAGAAAGGAGCATTTATTGGACTGAGTTCAAAAATGGATTACTCTCGTGGGTGGGATTGTTGTATCATGTCGTCAGTATCGAGTATTTCCTCCTTTCTAACGTGTGAGGGATGCAGCTCCATCTTCTTGTTCTTCTTCGGTAATTTGAATTTCTCCTTTTTCTGCATATGCTGTTAGTAAAGATTAGTTCAGCAAAGGCTTTAGTTGGGGTGTAAGCCAGTCCCTGATGCTACTCATACCACATTCGTTTATTTGTTCATGCAAGGCTGCGAGTTGAGTTGAGTACTAAATCTGTTTTCAGAACCCAAATTTGGCAAAGTACTAAAAAAATTAGTGAGGGGAAATATAATAATTAATTTGGGTTGATAGGGAAATTGTGAGTAATTACTGCATACAAGTACGGGAACTTGGGTTGAGATTGGAGGAAGCCATCGCAAAGAGCCTGGGTCTAAACAAGGAGTGTATCAAGAAGGTGTTAGGGTTGTCCGTTGGGGTCATCGCAGAGGGCCTAGGTCTAGACAAGGAGTGTACCCCAACACCTTGATGCACTCCTTGTCTAGACCTAGGCTCTTTGGGATGGCTTCCTCCAATCTCAGTCCAAGTTTCCGTACTTGTATGCAGTAATTACTCACCATTTCTCTATCAATCCAAATTAATTATTATATTTCCCCTCACTAATTTTTTTAGTACTTTCCCTATCAACCTGTTTTCAGTACTTTGCGCTCATAACTGCCGAATTCTCCTAATTTTAGCAAGTGGAGTACAAGAAGTCCAATACTACAAGTCCTTTCCATTCTCAGATATTATGATGATGGGTTCGTTGTTTGTGTTTGTGTTTGGATTACATTTTTTATGGAAAATTACTGTAGCAATTTGATGTATGTGAAAGAAAAAGATAATAGAGAAATGTGATCACGAAAAACGATGTAATTTTTCGATGGAACCGGCAATCCAAACAAGAGTATTTGAATAAACGATGGGTCTGCGTAGAAGATTTTGGAACCCTCGTCTCTGCTGCTGATGTATTTTAACCTTCCATTTGTTCCAGAACCCTCGTCTCTGCTGCTGCTTATTCTTGAACCCAAAAAACAAAATAACAATAATAATAGCATTCTTTCAGTCTTAAATGTGCCAATTTTGTGCAGCACAAGCAAGAAAACATATAGAGAGACTAGGCGACAGATATGAGACAATGATGGAAGCAATAACGAAGGGAAAGGTTATCATCATCTTCTGCTGACGCTCCTTGGCTATATTAGTAGTAATAGTATTAGGGGAACATCGAATCCTAATTTGGTAGCAATAACTCTGAGAACCGGTGAATTTTGGGGCGGAGCAACTCTTTTGAGTGGGGCAGAGGCATAGCCTATCAGCAGGAGGAGTTGGGCAGTTGAAGGTTTTGATGACGTACTTTCGGAGGAGTGAAAGGGAATGAAAAAACTCCAGCCGTCATCATCACTTTCCCAGTCACCGGCGGCTAGCTAATGCCCCAGCAGTGTTGTCGCATTTAGTTTTCCCCAAGCGACATGCTTCTGCCGCTTCGCTTGCTCTCCTACTTGCTCTTTCTTTTTGCTCCATTCGGTCGTATTCTATTCTTCCCTTTTGCCGTCCACAAACAGATTGTTGGTTACTAGCGGGAGTCATTTCTCTCAAGATACTGTGTATTTGCTTAGTAGCTATCTATTAGATTTTGTAGATAAACTGCACTCATTTTGACATTGATGATGCTATAACAAGAAGACAGTCCTGTTTGTGGGCTTGCGGTTGCGGCGGCGTTGTGTGGTGTGTACCCAATTTCGCAACATAACCGCCGCAAAATCATGTACCAGTAGTAGGCTAGTAGGGTGTAAGAACAAGTAAAAAGAAACTATTATGTTGCAAAATCTACAAGCTTCTTTTTAAACTAAAGTAATCGCAGATGTGATTTATGATTACTATGGTAGTATAATTCTTGCACGCTATCTTCCGTAAGGCCTCCAATCAGAGGGTTGCAACACTTTTCTGTTCCCCAATCTATTTGGATCTCAACTAATCACCACCCCAATTTCCTCCTCAGACCGCTTAGACAGATCTTGTGCTTAACAAGCAACCTGATCTGGAAATTCAGCAATCCCCTTCGTTCTGCAAAACAAATAAAGCAAAGCGTCTGCTTAGTTTCCACCCAGTTGCACCTTGATCAACCATTGTGGGGAAAAAGCTTAGGTACTTGATGACTCAAACGCGCAAGCCACTCAGCACGATTCTCAAACTTACGCAAGCCGTGCTCACTCTAGGCATTGTGCCGAACCAATTTCACACCCTTGCTCGCTTCTATTTGAGCACCAACCCAAAAGAACGACTCAGATGCATTTAAGAAGCCTTCTCCAGGAATTTAATGGCTCCTTGGTTTCTGTTGGATCAACTGGTTCTTTGAACTTTGCCTTCTCACTGAGTTCCTCAAATGAGTGTACGATGTTTTGAAGCCTGGCAACAAACTCAATCAACGAGGAAGTAAATGTTGCCAATGACAATGCACTTGCACTTTCATGTGTCCTTACTTCACGTCCATTGAGAATGGTATCACCAAGGACTGAGAGTCGTGAAGGCCACATTGTCTGCTGTCGTAGCGTATCTTCTGAGGAACCCCACTGAGAAGCAGAGAGATTGGTGCCTGGGTTTGGGTTCTGTGAATTCCAATTTCGCAATGTCTGAGCTGAGGTTAGATTGAGATTTGTTTCACTGATGGAGTTTATGACTTGTGGCTTATTTTCATTGTCTTTTAGTTCTTGTAGTTGCTCTGGATCTTCAAATTTACTTGGTCGTTTGCCACTTTCCCAGCTCTCAGCTTTGACCAGTAGGTAAGATTTCTGGTCAATTAACATCTGTAACTCCTCCGCAGCCTCATGCACTTCATCAAGTAGGTCTCCAGGGCTTAGTTTTTCCATCTTTTCTACTTTGTCTCCAAGTTGCCGTAACACTTTGGCACCTGCAGTCCCAACCCTCTGAATCTCATTCCTGAAAGCCTGTCGCAGTTCTGCTGAAGCCTGAAAAAGAAAAGAAAGAAAAAAAGATCTTTCACAGGCGTAGTAGAATAAGATATGTATACTTTTCATTGCCATGAAAAGAAAGGAGCATGAGCAGATAAGGGTGTGCAAGTAGCATGCAAGAACCAAAGGCATGAAACTGTGTAAACAACCAGTACATGAGTCGTAGAAAAATGATTAATAATCATCAGGTTCTGGCTTAAAAGTTGCACACAGATTGCCATCACGTGATCAGAAAGTTTTCAGGCATTTAGAGTTAGTTTCAGACCTCTCTCTAATTATGTCCAATCTACAGTAGACCAAGGTATCCTTTGTGTAGAAGGCTCACAAATAATATAAAGCCATGAAACCATATCAGGTCTTGCATTTTTGAACCACCTAAGCTTTTAAGACACTCGAATAGCATGCTAATTCCTTTAAGCAAATTGAAAGGCCTTGTAAAAGATGCAGGGACAACAGAAAATTTATGATGAACTGATCCTTCTATACTTAAGCTTAGTCCTAAAAGAGGCACATAGAATCAGACGTCATGACTATGGATTACAATTCAAACTACATGTAAAAGCAGAGACTTGAAAAAAATTCATTGCATCCAACTTTCTTAAAAAGGTAAGATAGATAAAACAAGACACTCTTGGCACCTAGGAAAGCAAATCAAATCCAAGCAAATCATTATCCAGAAGTTCAGGTAACAAGGACATTGCTGAATAAGTGCAAAACTAGCGTTTTGAAAGAAATCTGCCATCTATTTAGATAAGAACAATATCTACTAGTGCAAAAGACTTCTTGGAAAACCCTCAAACAGAAAAGGAGCCTAAGTGCAGCTATAATGCTGAGCCAAGTGACAATTAGAATTGCTCCTTTTGAGTCACAAAAAGAATGGATGTTGAGACAAGAACATATGTTTACGGGAAAACTCCAGAAAGACTATTTTATGCAAAGCCAAATTAAGTAACGTAAATTTGAAGTTAAAAGCATCATTGTCTACTAACGATGAAAAAAGTTTGAATTATGATCAAAGTAGAAGACCTTCAACTATTAGAATGTACAAAACTTAACAAAACAGAGAAAACAAGGAAAGAAAGAAAAGAAGAGTTTCTTTTCTGAAAAAAAAAAAAAAAGGAACACAGCACAGTATGAGTATTTGGATTGCTTCAAGCTGCCTTCTACTATTGAAAGAAAAATAGAAATTCACGCCTTTCCTTTTACTGGTTAATAAAAAAATAAAAACAAAACCTTCCTTTTCTTAAGGGCACTTGTCCAAAATTGAAGCATCTCATTCAGTACTAGAGCTTCTTTTGTTTCATTGTTTGTAAGGGGCCTTTTCTTTCATTTGTTGTTCCCATGAGGCTAATTTATCACATGATTTCTAGGTAAAAGTAGGGGTGTAAACAACCCTAATCAAGCCCAACACCCCAGTGTTCAAGCTTGTTTGATTATTTTAACAAGCTTGAAATTTTGTTGAATAGTTTATTTATTTGCCGAACCAAGCTTGAATAGCCAGATTCTAGTCAAGCTCGAGTAGCTTAAAATTTTTACATATAAAATCTAATTTTATACTAATTGAACCAAGCTCGAGCCGAATTTGAAAGTTTATTGAACATAAAACACTGTTCAAACTTGGCTTGACTAGTTGGCGAACTAAACTCAATCAAGCTCTTACAAAGCCAAGTTCGATTCGAATATCGAGTGACTTGGTTCATCCTTCAACTCTAGCTAAAAGGGTTCTCCTACCTTATGATTTTTAGTTGTAACAAATATTTCCTTATCTTGTCACAAGGAGGTCTCAATTTGTTATCTAACTATACAAAAGGTTACATCCGTAACACCTCCAGAGAAACCAAAGCCTACTGGGACCTGGGTTACTTAGGTATCATTTCAAGTATATAACAGAAGGCAAGTGAAACAGAGGAGTTGATGCAGGATTGAGGTTCTTGTAGGCGTCTGAGGGCATCAATCTCCTTAAGCACAGGCATGGCTGGCTCTAGCTAGCCCAAAAAAAAAAAGTGAAAAGAGACAAGAATCACCTGTATCTCTGAAAGTATACAACCATGCATTGCCATGACCATAAATGCACAATGCCTTAATGCACCACTAACTTTAACATATTCACTCCAAGGATAGTTGAACATTCTGTATGGACCATGAGGCGGTTCCCAAACTGCAAAAGCCAACTGCAGAAGGAAATGCTTAAGTTACAACCATCGTCCCTTTGAATAAATAATCATTAAAGAGAGAAAGAAAAAGAAGTAACTGTAAAATAGGCATACCAGAGACTCTTCTTTGCTGGAGGACTCTAAGGCAGCTCTGATTCCACTGTACATCGGATCATCAGAAGCCTGGAAGACTAGAATTTTCGATGGTATCCTTTCATATTCAACACATTGCAGATATCCGTGGACACAGCCTACAGAAAGGCTTGCAGGTACAAGTGAAGCATATCATCTCAAATGCACAAACCTCAAGTAATTTTTAAGTTTTGCGGGACAAAAAATTGTTGGAAAGGGCAATAAAAACCTCACCTTCCAAAGAAGTGGCAACATTCCTAAAATTCTTCACCACCAACTTGTGCAAATCCTCACCAGCCCAAATGGGGTAAACACATACGTTGACAATCAGACAAACACCAGCTCCGACAGCAATGAGCAGCAATCGAGAAACAGCAGTTTGCACAAAGTGTGAAGTCCCAGAGACCAGAACGATGCAATAAGTCAACAGGAACACCCGGAACCCGTATTCGTACTGTTTCATTGCTGGGAACAATTTCAAGTAGCTTGCACAGAACCCTAGAGTCCATTTAGACAATTTTAAGGAAGTGGCAGTAGGAAGCAAAAATACTGACGACGTCTAAAGAAGAAGTATTTGTTTGTAGGGATGGTTGGCATTACCTGCTGAAGGAAATGGTGGCAATTTTTTTTTTTTTTTTTTTTTTAAGAGTAATACAGACGGACAATAAGTGGGGAAAGGATGAAACCTGCAATGAAGATGCTGAAGACGACTATAACTTCTTGAAATTTGCCAGCTAAGGCAGATAACTCAGCAATTCCCAGAGCTAATGCTCCAGCAGATAAAGTCCCCAAGGCACGATTGAATCCCTTGTTTAATGTGGCCCCTGCACATGATTGAAGTAATATTGAACAAACGCTTTGGGCAAATACAAGTGCAGACGATAGCGTCACTGTATCAATTACCGAAATTTTCAAGTTACTAAAGACGATCCAATTACAGATTCTGCTGCTACAATCTTTTTTGATTATATATATATATATATATATAGAGTACTCCATATAATATCAGAAGAAGACTACTGATAAAGTTTGCAACGGAATCAAACACTAGAAGGATAGGGGAAAAGAAAAGGAAGGAGGAGGAGGGGTACCAATGCTGAATTCAAAGACGACAACGACAGTGAGGATAGCCCAGATGGAATGCTGTCCGATGTAACTGAGGGGTTCCTTGAAGAAGATGAGAATTGTGACGAAGGAGAGAGCCAGCCCCATTTTAAGTGCAAATATGATCTTTCTGGGATCGGAACGACCAATTTCGCAGGCTTTGACCCAAACTTGTTTACCATAGTTGCAGATTTTGGGAATTTCATCTGCTAGCCAATGAAAAGCCCGAAGACACGCTCCTCCTGCTCTTCGTCGTCGTCCTCCTCCTCCGATCCCTGATCCCACTTGTGAATATTCGTCCTCTCCTTCTTCTTCTTTGCGGGGTATGAGCAATCTTTCTTTGCTTCTCTCCGCGAAGCTATGCCTTAAAGATCCAATACTGCCAGCCATTCAATCAAACCCAAAAAAAAAAAGAAAGAAAGAAAGAAGGAAGACGAAGAAGATCAAGAGAAGAAGAGAAGGGGCAGTTGGGTTGGAGAGTTGTTCACGGAAACAAGCCTCGGGGTTCCATTCCATCCAACTCACACATTATTATCGCGTCTCATCTTTCTTCTTCTTTTTTTCTTCTTTTTTTTGTTAACTTCGATTCTCAAATTACGATTATAGCAAATTACGACTGCTTATTATGGAAAGCTAAAAATGAATTAATACTCGTCAAGTGTTGTATTGTAGATTTGTAGCGCTGCTGTAGTCAGTCCAGTCCAGTCCAGTACAGTACTACTAATACTAGTATTTTTATTAATTAATTCAATAATTCTCTGTAATTAATAATATGTGGTGGGTCCCACTTAAGTTAGAGAGAGGGAGTCTTGAAAGTCCGTTAACGATAACGACAGTCTCCCGCCTCCTCCTCAGGGCCCACTTTTGTCACATGTCTCCAATCGAAGTTGAGGTGGTTGAAAGTCCGTTAACACAGATACTAGTTGTTGGAACTTGGAATGCTGCTGCTACTACTTTCTTCTTCACACACACACACACACACACACACACACACTGCTATATTATTATTATTATTATTATTATTGTGATAACTAGTACATTTATTGTTTACAGTAGTATTTGATCTAAAATAGATCCAATAAAATACTAAAGCAACAAATACATATAAGCTCTGATACAATCACCCGAGACCCAAAAAAAATTATTGAAACCTGTGGCCAAAACTCAATTCCATCCATAGGACCAGGATATCCCAAAAGTAACCATTTTCTGCCCACCATCACCAGACCACTCATTGTTTTCATCTGGTATCAAGAAAGATTGATCCAAGATTAGATTAGACTTTTACAAGTCTTTTTTTGTCTACCACCAAGATTGATCCAATTACGAAAAAGCGCAACATATTGAAACATACATACAGAGGCGCCACTGCAGCAGCTTGGAGAATTTTTTTTGTTTGCATCCTGAACTAAACGTCACAGAAAGCACGAAGCTAATTCAAATAGACATCACCGCTATTGAAGCAGTCAGGCTACAGTAATCAGCTGACATCTAGGACCAACGATATGGATGCAGTTTTGTGATCAGATCCATAAACCTATTAAATCACCATTTAAGTCTTCAATTTCATACACTCAAACTGACAAATATAACAGCTCCTATTGGTAATCCAAAACACAAAGTCCAACAATCAAACTGCCAGGCAAAAATTGCCTCTCAGCATCAGCTGATACTCAAACTATTTCTTCTCTTCCTTCTCAGCCTCCGCAGCCTTCTTCAACCTAGCACCAATATGGCGCTCATTCGTCCTCTCCAATCGCAGCTTGTCGTAGGCCTTAAATGACTTCATCTCTTCTGTTACCTTCACAAGCTCCACCCATGGTTTCTCACGAACAATGGGCAAGTAAGCACCTTGCACTTGTGTGGCTGTCGCCAACTCCTCAGGAGCAGAATCACCAGCCTGCAACCAAGGAAGCTTAATAAAGTAGCCAAAGATGAAGTTTGAAACCTTAAAAGAAAATTGGGTAGCTCAGTCTAACCTTGAATTTACGAGCTCGTCTTGGGAAAACAACCAACTTGGCCTTGTATGTCTTGAGTCGCTGAACATTAGCCTGAAAACCCTCCAAGGACCTGTTTTTCCGCCGATGATCAACTGAAACACCAATAGTTGGTCCAAGTTTCTTAGGAATTCCAGCAGCCTATTGCATTGTCAAGCAGATAAGAATTAGTAGAACTCATGCACGGCCTGACACTCAAAACATACGAGTATGTGAACATAATTGATCGAAATAATCAAGGAAATTCACCTTGAGCTCCTCAAGAGTAAAGCCTCTACCAAAATATACGAGTAATTGAACATAATTGATTGAAATAATCAAGGAAATTCACCTTGAGCTCCTCAAGAGTAAAGCCTCTACCAGCTCTGACTTTCATATTGTACTTCAATGTCTGCCCATGGACAATAGGACGAAGAGGACCAGCTGTGGGCCTGGGGAAGATTTTCGCAGCCTTCTTCTGCCTAGCTGTCAAACAGATGATCAAAAATCAGACATCAATTGCAAAGTAAATACAGACCACAACTTCGGCGAAAAGCAACTACTGAACAAAAACTTGACCATTGGAAAGGAACACTGAAAATGACAATGAACTGCTTACCATTTCTTCTCCTGGTCTTGCGTGCAGGTTGGTTAAACCACGTCTTCACATAATTCTGCCAGTGCTTCCTGAAGTGCCCACTAGGCACAACATTATTGTGCTTAACCATGAGTTATCTACAGATAAAAGCAAATTTTGGAACTTAAAAATATAATTAAAAAAAATTGGCCAATATTAACCAAACAACGGAGTTCTTTTAGTAAATAAAGAGCAACTTTGAGAAACACATATTTACTAGTATAGCATACCAGCCCACATGAATTACAGGCGAGGACAAGTATCTAATTTTCCCATCCTACTACAATTAAGCCATAGTTTGCCAGCAGCAGACAGGCATAAAGCAAGCATAATGCAGAAGATCCCCAAGCCGCAGTTTGAAAGTAAAACAGAAATGACACTTATGACGCACAAATCAATTGTGTTCTGCTGTCAGTCAATAGTTTTCAGGTAGCAGAAAGGCATACAGCAAACGTTATGCAGAAGATTCATAAGCTGTAGCTCCAAGTAGACCAGAAATGGGGCACATGACCCAAAAATCCATTTGTATGTACAAGCTGACCATCACAAGACGAACAAACTTCAAAAACAACAAATGATGATTGGAAAAAAGAAACTCTAAAAACCTAGTAACACAGAAAAACAAGAGACGCCAACCAAGTATCATGCAGCAAACAATCACAAAAACTCCTTGACATATTTGCATTGCAGACATCATAACTTGAGAGTAGTGGCCACAGGATCTTCATGGAGATGTAAACAACAAAATCTAACAGACTTACTTTTGAAAAAAAAAAAGGAAGAAACCTCTGATATCCCCCAACAGCAGTTGAATAATCAATAATATATACCAAGAATGACAGAAACTTAACCCCATGCAACAAGAGTAAAAATGGAGGCCGACAAATGGGTGTCAAAAAATAAATAAATAAATAAAGGGAACCAGATGGAGTAGGTAAACAACAAGAGAGTATGTCCTTAAACCATGAAAGAGCCCGAATCTAGTCGTAAACTGCAACTACTATTAAATAGTAACTAAAACTTTTCAATTAACGACTGTAAAGGCATTAACCTAACATCGTATTAACCTAACAGAGTCTTTTTCTCTACCTTTTTTCTTTTATCTAATCAAATAGAGCCGGCAGAGGCAATTTCCAACATTTCCGCAAATGATATTCCTGAGCGTACTCTCTGTGCGTGTGTGTAAAGGCACGTTCTCCGGTTAAATCAAAAAAAAAAAAATCACGACAAATTAAGTGAGTAAATACGCATCACATGAAAATACAAATTTCACTGGCGTAACATGACGGAAATAATGATTCCAAAGAAAAATGAAGGGAAAAGGCGTATTAAGAAGACTAGCAAAGCTATGTGCAGATGGAGCCTCTTTTCTTCTTCTTCTTTTTTTTTTTTTAAGAAAGGTATAAAAATCTAACGGCGGCGAAGAGAGGAGATTTTAAAAGCACAACTCACAAATGGAGAAAGATCCCTTTGCTTCCGTGCTGCGACTTCCTGCTTCTCCTCTTCCTCTTCCTCTTCCTCTTCCTCTTCCTCCTCCACCTCCTGCCCCTGCTCCTCCCTCCGGAACTTCTTAGATTGCCGTTTTATATTATCTCATCAAAAACCCTACTAACCAATTGTACGGGCTTTGTGTGGCTTATTTGTTTCTTTGGGCCGAGACCCAACTCGTCAATAGAGGAGTTGTTCTAATTATCCAAATCTCCGGGACCAACATCTAGAGGGGCAAAATGGGTAGGATGGGCGGAATTTATTTGGATTTGAGATGAGGTCTAGACTTTGCACTATAACTTACTGTAGAAGTTATAGGAAAAATTTTTGAAGTGTATAAATTTTTTGATATTTTGAAGTGTATAATTTAAACACTTTGAAAAGTTTTTTGAGGTTCTTATAGATAAAATTATTTAAAAACTTATAAAAGACAAACTTGGCTAAAAATTTCTTTGCCAAACAAGCCCCTAGTAATTTGGGTTTAGACCCAACCTTATTTACATGTGATTTGGGACTAATTTGGGCGAAATCACTCTGGAATGAGTTTATATTGATAAGTATAGCCCCTGTATTCTTTTTTAAGTCTTTTTTCTTTATATAACTTTTTTTTATTTATTAAATTTCTTTTAGTCTTACTGTGATTTATATTTTCCTAAATTTTTTTCCTCAAAATTTTATTTATTTATTTTCTATGTATATATATTTTTAAAAAAAATTTTGATTTCCAATGTTGAGAAAAAAATAAGAAAAAAATAAGCCCTATAAAACTTAAAAGAACTTATATTTATGAGTATAAAAAATGGCGTTTGAAACTATGAGCTATCATAAAACTATCAATAATGAACAAAGTATTTTCTAATAAGATCAGAGATCAATGACTTCTATATTACTCCCACTATTCATTTTGATTAGTGTTCTATTAGAAAAAAAAAAAAAAGAGTTCAAAACCATTTACACGTATAAAAGAACCATCACCAACCCTGTTTAGGCCATCATTTGTCCTTGTAACACCTTCGTGGGAATGGACAACTAGTGGTGGGCTCGCATGGACGCGAGATCTTAAGTTGGACCAATTAATTTCCCTGCCTCCAGCATGCGGGCGCTAGACGCGACTAGTTATTTGACCCAGCCTCTATGGCTGGGGCTAGACACCGTATCTTCTCGATCTTGAACAGCATAGTAAAGGTGTTTAAATGAAAATAATAATAATAATAATTTACTACTATTAACGGGAACAAAAATCAAGTTTATCTCTTTTCTTTTTTTTCTTTTTTTTTTAGTGTAAGCGAGATAACTCGTACCCGAGACTTCTTGCTTACACTCCCTCCTCCCGTACCACCCAACCCAACCCTCCCCCAGTTTATCTCTTGAATACTCACTAAAAATTAAGTTTAAATATATATTTATTTTTAAAAGTAAATTTTATATACATTAACAATATATACACTATCATGACGCATGTACAAATGTTAAATTTTAGATTCCAATTTTATATAGTTTGAACCACATAAATATAAATGAATGAACCAAATCAACTCATTATCTATCAATTAAATGAATTTAATTAAATATCTATTTAGACCCATTTAAAGCTAATGAGACAGGTTTGAACAAATTATTAGTAGGCAATTTTGAATAAATCAACATAACTGAGTTATGATTGACACCGCCAACAAGCTCTACGGCTACCTTATGATCTTATGAACACAGAAAAGGCAAGTCTCGCTTGAACAAATTATTAGTAGGCAATTTTGGATAAATCAACATAACTGAGTTATGATTGACACCGCCAAGCGCTACGGCTACCTTACGATCTTATGAACACATAAAAAGGCAAGTCTCACACATAGATACTAATAACGCGTAACACATCAAGACAAAGGTAAGCTAATTTCAAGCTTCTACAGTCCCTTCAGCGTCCTCTGGTCTTCTACACATCACGAGAGGAAGGACTATTGAGATACATATAGGTTCTTTTGCAACTCAAGGCTGCGGTGGCGGCTTCTCCAAATCCTCAAGGGGGCGGAAAAATGCCTTCTGCTCCAGCACAGAGCCTTCAGGTGCATTAACATCCGAGGTGTGGAGACCGCGCTCCCCACAAGCTACAGGGTTCTGCTCGGTGGACGGGCCAAACACCCCGGTTTGAGGGTGTGGAGCCCAGTACTCCTCCGACTGTGGTTGGATTACATCGTCTGGTACTGCAGTTGAAGTAACGTGTTCCTCCGGGTTCTTGTCATACACTGATCCGTGAACGGCCCTCCTGCATATATCCAAATTTCCATTGAGGACGCCGAGTTCCCATGACATGGATATCAAAGGTCAAACAAAATTACTCTGTAACTTGCTAAAATGACCAAATTAACAGACGGAAAACTATTTTTACACATCAAAACCTTGCACAAACTTGTAAGAACAAGTGATTCTCTTACACCACAGTAGAACCAAAGGGTATGTATGTTAATGGCCCTTGCATTCAAGGCCAGCGAAAAAGATCATGAGAACATCAAAAGGTAGCTAGCAGCTTCATCTAATGCAATATTAGACAACGCTAGAGACAGCAAATTGATAGGCAGCAGCAGCAGCAGCAGCAGCAGCAGCAGCTACAATGACAATCGTCTACACAGCAAGTTCATTACGGACAGAAACAGAAGTATTTTCAACCCAGACTATAAAATAATAAGAAGGTGCTCTTTAGTTATACAAGAGCACGTCACCATTGTTTGTAACAAAGGTAGTGAATCTCGAACCACTTGTACGTCGCTCATAAATCAAAGAAAGGAAGCAGAAAGTAACATTCAAGTACTTATGGTATACCTGCAAGGCATCTCAATATTTAGAAACAAATCGGCCCTTAGTTGGCTGTCAGGAAGCCAATAATAAAATCAAGAGTTAAAACATGAAATCAACAACACAACCTCTTTAGCATCAGGAAAATAAAAGAACAACCATTTAGATCTACATTCCTCTTCCTAATTAAATAGTGAAATGGTAGGAGCAGTGATTTTCGTACGGAGAAATGGGTGAAACCGCCTAGGCAAGGATACAACTTCTCAGCAACCACAACCCCCCTAATGATGTCCTAGTTGGGCAACACACCTACCCCTAAGGCAATTACCGTAGTATACGTTTTCAAGTGCTGGCTAAGATTGTGTTAACTTAACGACCACCTTGCTTGGTGCCAAAGATGAAGGAATAAAAATTGAAGATGATCATTCACCACTATAAAGTGGATGGGTTACCGGGGAGGGGAAAAAGTAAGACAGGGGCTTCCAGTTACAATAAAAATCAACTTCGGGACATTATCAATCAGATATCTATAATAACATTACTAATTAACCCGAATATCGGGTTAATAAATTTTCCTCAGCAGTCCCCTATCTAACATAGCAACTTAACCTCGCCCTTGTTTGACCTTTGACACGTCAGCTACAAACCAGTCCTTATCCAAATTCCAGAGAATTGGACCATTCTAGTACGGAACGAGGTTTTTTAAAAAAATACTTTTATTTAGTTATTTATTTATTTTCTGCTTTTAAACAAAACTGTCCGGGCCCGGTAGTAATATTAGACTACTCCAACTAATAGTAAATTAGACTACTCTAACTAATGTTGTTGACAGCTATATTAAATACTGTCACGAAATTCAGATGAAAACCAAAACAAGAATTATTTTCCCAAATCAATGGTCTAAAGGAACATTTTCATTACTTAATTGGTAGGAAAAACGACGGCTAAACTGGAGGATGACACCCAAAAAGAAAAAAATTTTTACGTCGCAAAATTATTTACTAATAATACTCCACTATAGTATAACTCACAAGATTGGACAATCCGACAAGAAAGAAATAAAAAGCGAAGCAAGAAAATTTTGCTGAAAAGGTGATCCATATATCAGCTAAAAAGACCAACCAGACAAGATATTTGATGATCGCTTAGGCGCCAGAAAAAAGAATATCCTGCTTTTCTTTTTCATTTTTTGCACCCAAAAAAAAATAAAACGAAGAAAGGCAAGGAGCAGGTAGGTAGGATGGTTGTAGGTAATAAGATCATGGGGGAAATCTCGGTATAAGAAGACTCCATTCCACCAGTTTTAACGTTTTATTCTTGCGGAGGAGTTATTTATCTTGAAATTTGGGGCTTGAGCTAAAAGGTGAAGATGCTCCAAGTCTTCAGAAATGGGTTTTGCAGGAAACACTACTAAAAGGCAAGAATAAAGAACACAGCTAACTGACACATAGTAGTAACAGTTTATACTACTGTAAACTCAATCGGCTGAAAAGCTTTTAAGGGCCCAAAAAGCATTTGCAGAATATAGTACAAGTATGTGAAAATAGGGGAAGGCAGAAAGAGTTGTGAGAGAGAGAGAGAGAGAGTTACCTAAGCAGGAAGTAGGAGGAGGAAGGAGAGAGAGAGGAGGAGGACTTGATCTGGCTCACAAATCGATTACCGATGCTGGCCAGTCTCCGGGTAGTAGTCTGCAAATAGCCGGCCATACAATTCCCGGAGTTGATTGCTCTGCGGGAGTATAGAAAGGATGTGAGAGATTGAGAATGAAGTAAAAGGGAAACACGGAGCTGTGAACACAACGATGGAAATGGAAGGAGAGACCTTTTATAGAGAGAGAATTTTGGTGGCGTGAGTGGGGAGTAGGTGACAGGCGAAGGCGGTGATGTAAATTATAAAAGCCTTTAGATTTAGGCTAAAGGGATTTTATCTGGGGTTAATCACCATGACAACTTCCTCTCACTTTATACTAGTTTATTTATCCCCTTGAATTTGATTGACAGTCAAACCAAACTTTCTATGACAGACCGTGGGCGGTGACGGTTAAAATTGGACTCGAGGAAAATGGTGGTGTCCTGAGAAAGTAATGAACAGACAAAAATATCCATAAGGATTGATTGGGTCCGGGTCCCCGGTGGAGCTATTACTCACTGATCTGCAATTAGCATAGAATATTAGAATAGGGCAAAAAAAAATTTACAAAAGAGAGGAAAAAATGCGCTCCAACTCTTAGATTGGTTCTTCCATAAGTTGTAACGAATAACATCGGGAGCAAGAGGAAAAAAATTTCGATGTGATTGATGAAATCCAGAGCAAATGGCTTGGAAAACTTTTTGAAATGTGGGGTATTTTGTCAATATATATAGAAAGGGAATAAAGTGAAAGAAATAAAATGTCAAGGGATAAATTATAAAATTAATCGGGTGATTGTTTGGATTGTCTTTTTATTTGTTACTCAAAATTTATTTCTTTGCATCGTAGACAACAAGTCTTTTAATTGTACTTTTATCTTATCTACGTCAGATTAAAAAAATATTACATTATTTTTTAAAAAAAAAAAATTATTTTAAATAATCTACTTTCCGAGCAAGTGCTCGCTAGCGTATGGGAGTGATAGAGGAGTCATGCTCAAAATGCGGGTCTCAGGGTCTTGCCTTGCCTACCCCACCACCACCTCCTACTCGTATGACTGCGTACGGGTGGGTACCGTACCAGTAGTAGCATTTATTTTTTTGGACCACCGGATCAATTCTCACTCCACCGTCAACTAACTAACGGAATCTACTTTCTTCTGTGACAGATGCTGCTGGTGATTTTGACTACTACTAGGAGTATATTATATTATGGGATAATTGCAGAAACCTCCCCTAAGGTTTCTGACACTTGCACTGATTTCCCCTATAGTTTGAAAAATTGCACTGACCTCCCCTGAACTTACTAATCCTTTGCAAATTCAGTCCAAACTATTAAAATATTGCTTTAGGGAGTGAAATTAGAATTTTGTACTAGATTTGCCCTTTGTACTACATGTTCAAATGAATGACAGAGTACTACAAATCAATTAACAATTAATAAATTTTAAGGGGTGTCGTTTATGGGCAAATACGCATTACCTATTTAAAGTACCGACTATTTATGGGTATTTTACTTTCAAATATTTAATTTATAATAAATATATCAATGATAAATATATTAATGTTTGTAATTAAAATTCAAAAAATGTTACGGTAATATTCTTACAAAAAGGAAATCGGTAGGTTATCTATTTAATATAAATTAAATATTTTTTTAAAAAAAAGAAATGACCCATAAAGTATTAATTTTTTATGGCTTTCATCCATTAGGTGAGTAAAGTGTTGGCTCTTTATAGGCATTTTATTCAGAATCATTTAATTTATGTTAAATACATAAATATTTGTAACTAAAATTGAAAAAATGTTACATTAATATTTTTACAGAAGGAAAACTGGTAGGTTTTGTATTTAACAAAAATTAAATATTTGAGAGTAAATCTTCAACGCATGAGTACTCCGTTGGATCTGAACAGTAATCAGCAATTAAAAAAACGGAATGTATGGGAAATTGGGCTAAATTGATGCGATGAAAGTTGCTAGCAATCAGCAATATATTATTTTTTTCGTAATAACGATCCTATTTTATGCTCGTGTCTGCTTGATTATGCTCGGCCTCCGCCTCTGCGTCTTCGATCAGTTCCAATCTATTTCTGCTAAATATTCTATTCTATTCTATTTCTACCACGTGAGTCTGCGACCAAGTGCTAGCAAAAGCCTGCTACTAAAAAATATTCTATTCTATCATTCCTCACACGCATTGGACGAGGGACGTCCTAAAATTAAAACTTTTTTAAAAGAGCCGCCCCACCGCCCAACGTCTTATGAGGATCTCCCCATTTACGGATCCCACCAGCTTCACACGCCTTTTCCTGATTATTTACTCCTGTAAAAATTTTCGGTGATTTTGAAAATATATTGGTAAAATTCTCAAATCTCTCATTTTTTTTCTTTTATTGAAAGTATATTAAGTCTTGATTAAGTAATGGGTAAAATCCAGAAAATGCTTGCTGCTTAATCTTTGCTTAGAGTCAAGAAACTCCCTCTCTTGTTCAAACCAATTGAACTGCATTTTGGATATTATAAATAAAATAATAGAAGAATTAACCCACCTTTTATATATATATATATATATATATATATATATGCTGATGATCTCTGTCGATCATGAAATGCATGCCTGAAAGTCTAAAATTACGGGGTCATTATTGTAATTCAATGAATGCTGTCGGAATTATCTCCTATGAGTAGGGTGAAGTTGACGTGCTATCTATCGCCTTATCACAAATTAGTGTCATACTACTTGGGATTTAACTTAATTTTACAAAAGTCCCAAGCTGTTGAAATAAATTGAAAAATGGTCAATTATATACTTATATTTGTTTTTCTTTTTGGGGGTTTAGTTTATTTATTTATTTATATTTAAGGGAAAACCTTATAAGGGAAGGGATAATCAAAGTGTGGTGTTTTTCTTTACTTTTTCAATCCGTTTGATAATTTTCGCGTACTAGTTGGAAGTCTTTTTTTTTGTCTCGATTTGGCATCTAGAATCTTGATGTAACGAAATATCATCATCGTTAAAAGGTTTAAGGAGAGTGATGTGGGTTTCATCAAAAAAAAAAAAAAAAGGAGAGTGATGTGGGTGGTTTTGTGGCGTCGTCCTGCCCTCCTCCTCGTCAAATCATCCCTCGTTTGGCAATTTTGTAAGTAGGATGGGTCAACATTCAACAAAATGTTTGCACGAAAGGTGCTGGCTTTGCTGGTCCTCTTGAAAGTTCTGTTATTGTGTCGTGCCATCAACAGTACGGGCCTGTTTGAAAGCCAGGTTTTTTGACAAGTTTTTTACCTATAAATATTTTAATAATTTTTGCTACAAGAACCCCAAAAAATATTTCAAAATTTTTTACCAACACACTTCAAAATACCCAAAATACAAAAAAAAAATTCCCTTCCCTTTTTTTCTTCTTTCACCCCTATCCCAACCCATACCACCGCCGGTGTCGACCACCACCGCTGTTTCGTCCCCCATCTTGCGGAGATGCGCCTGGCTTGTTGATGGCTGTGGAGAAGGTGCACGCTGGGGAAAGGGCAGGGGGAAGGGGGTCGCGCTGGGAAAAAGGCAGGGGGGTGGCAGGGGGAGGGGGTGGCGAGGGAGAGCGGGGGAAAGGGATGGTGGGCATAGGGGGGTGGCGGGGAAGGGAATGGGAGGGCAAAGGGGAGGAGAGGGGTGGCGTGGAGGTGGCGGGCGTGAGTTGCTGCTGGGAGGTAACGGGGAGGAAAGAAAGAAAGAAGAAGAAAAAAAAGGAAGAAGAAGAAGAAGAAGAAGAGAGGAAAGAAAAGAAAAAGAAAAAGAAAAAGAAAGAGAAAGAGAAAAAGAAAGAAAAAAAAGAGAAGGAAAAAAAAGTTTTTCTCCTTACAAAAACTTCTACAAAAAAGTTTTTCACCTTACAAAAACTTCTACAAAATTTTTTCAAAAACTTCTACAGTCCACTACAGTAAAGTTTTAGACAAACTCTTAAAAAACTCAGATTCCAAACAGGCCCTATGTAATTGGCTTGTAATTCCAAATATCACGTTTGGAAGAAGATAAAGTACAATATTTTTGAACTGATTACTTCTAACTCTGTTTGAAAGGAAGATAAAGAGAGAATTGAAGCAACTAAATCACCACCATAGCGGTCTGCTAGTTACAAGTGTATACCTACTTTATTAGGTGTACCCTGGATCCTTAAATTGTTTGAAGCAGTTTTGAGGCCTGGATGGAGAGCTCGAGCACACTAAACTTTGTCCTATCCTTCTTTTGTTTATTGATAAGAAAATTGTCTTATTATTGAAGCCATGGGTTTTTTTTTTAAAAAAAAAAATTCAGTTATTGTAAATGTATATATTGGAGGTTTGAAGTGTCGGCAAAATTTTTTTTCCCCATTTTCACTTAGGAGTATTCAAACATTTCGACCAGACTAATCATCTAAAGATGTATACAGTCTTGCCCCAAGAATACACATGCGAAATAGCACACGGAGGTCGATCACCAAACCTGCTCAGGTTATGAAACCGGTCGGACTACCCGTGGAGTCTAATCATTATTAATTAGTGATGCAAAAAGTTATTAGTGGATTATTACGCAATGGTGTATTCTGATGGGATGGTGATATTTGCTAAAGTTCGAATTTTTTAATGCCACAAGAATTTTAGAATAATAGGCTAATTTTTACCTTTCTCAACTTCAATGAAATATCATCAAAAATTTGACTTGAGAAGTGGGGTATTATCCTTAAACTATCATTTTATTCCAACGTAGTAAGTACCAAGTACTCCACTATATTAGTTTAACACAAGTACTCCATTATATTAGTTTAACTACTAATGCTGGTTTAGTGGTCAGGATAGTGCTTTTAAAATTCTTTCTGCTCTTAAGTGATAGAGCTTAACCATTAAAAAAAAAAAAAAAAAAAAACTATAGGAGCGACTAGTGACTCTTCATCGGTGCCAAGCAAGGGTGCTCGTTCTCTATCC